CGCCTGCCTATCCGCGAAGGTACTCAAGCGAGCGGAATGGAGTTTCGTAGGCATGCTCGTCCCAAACACTTGTGCACGCACTTGCTCAGAACTGGGGAAGCAGAGATGCAACGCAGGAACAGAGAAAGAAAATGGCGATAATGGGAGAAAGCATAGCAAATCGGGACAACAGTCCTTGTATATGTACTAGGCAGTTAATAATTAAGCTTGCTGTACGTTCAAAAAAACAAATTCTGCTCGTTCGAAAATAATAATAATTAAGCTTTGTGGGCTTACAAGGCCATGGCCTAGCGCTCCGCCCGCCCACAAAAAAATAGAACAGCCCCAAATAACATCTCTCCCGTTCTCTTGTTGGTGTGATATAGGGAGTACCACCTTTTTCTTGGCAGGTAAATTTTTGTCCAAATTTGATTGGACAATTATTCATTGAGTTAGATTCGGCTTTGTCATTTGGGCCTAACAAGATTTTCTCTTTGGAATAAGTCTATTTTGCCTCCTCAACTCATGCTCCTAGTTGAATCGTATCCCTCAACCGCAAAACTAGGTATAACCCATCCCCTAACTCCCAAAACCATTGCAAATTGACTACCCGGACAATTTTAGAGGCGGTTTCGTTTGACGTGACAGTTGACTCACTGAGTTATTAAGTGAGACCGACTTGTCAGCGGCCTTCACCTCATCCCATCTTCTCTCTCACCTCTCTCCCACCCTCTCTCTTTCATATCTTCCTCTTCTCTCACCTTCCATCAACACAGAGGCAGGACGACAAACGACAGCACACAAGGGAGGAGCTTGTCAGCCGGCCGGCCGGACCACGCGCTGGGGAGGAGCAAGTCGATCGGACGTGCACTAGAAGGAGCTCATCCGTTGGCTGTGTGTGAGGAGGAGCTCGTCAGCATGGTGGCAGCCGACACCCTTGTCGATCTTCTGCGACGCCCCGGCTCGAGCATGCTTAGGAGGTGGGAGGGCGCCGGGGCATTGTGCGAGAGAAGGGAGGAGGGGGTCGTGGAGGACGAGGCGAAGGTCGCGCAGGCAAACCCCTCTAGGTTGTCAACCGGCCGTGTGCAGGGGAGGAGTTCGTCGGCCGTCTACACGCGGGGAGGAGCTCGTTGGCATGGTGGCGATCGATGAAATTCGTTGAATGGGCTGATCGCGCGACGGAGGCGGATGGGATATAGGAAGGGGGCAGGGAGCTAGAGGAGGCTGGCTGGGGATGGAGGAGAGCAGCGCATGGGAGCTTGGGGTCCTGCACCCAACTCTCAAGCAATGTGGGGCTCCCGTGATGGAGATGGAGGTGAGCAGCGCAGGTGGCGTCATCGAGCTCCCAAGTGGTGCGGCCGTGGGATGTCGACAACGCCTCCGTGGTAAGGTACCACATCGCCAGGGACACCCGCGTGGACCATCCACCGTGACCCCTTTTCTGTCGCTACAGTCTTTCCCACGCGCCGCCCCTCGTGGGGATCGAATTTAGCTACGAAATGACGGGTTCACTACTAAAAAAACATTTTTCCGTGTGGAGGATTTGCTCGTCTACACCAAGGAGTCTGGGAAAATCAATATTTTTGTGTGCGGGTAGCCCAACCACACGGGAAAATTATCTTCCCGCGCAGTCGGTTCAATGGACTGCATGGGATAATCGATTATCCCGTGCGGTCAAATTATACCGCCCGCACGCAAACAAAAAAAATAAAATTAAAAAAAATAAAAATACCCTAACCGTAACCCTAGAATTGCCTGGTGCCGCTCCCGGCCGCCTTCATCGCGCCGCTGCCACGACCAGCAGCCGCCGCACCCGACCGTCGTCTGTGCCCGAGACCGCCAACATCGCGCCGGCCGCACGGATCCGGGCGGGGGCCAGTTGCAGCCGCCGTCCGCGCTCGCGCCCACGCCCACGCCCACCGGCCGCCACCGCCGCTCGTAGTCGCCGTGGTTGCGCCGCCGCCGCTCCCGATCGAGCCCGCCACTGCCGGCCCCGCCGCGACCGGCCACCATCGCTGCTAGCTCCCGCGGGCCGCCTCCACTCCTCATCGTGCGCTCGGTGGGGAGGAGAGGGGAGGAGAGGAGAGGAAAGGGAAAAGTAGGAGAGGAAATTGGAAAAGTAGGTGTGTAGAGAGAGAGAGAGGAGTGAGAGTAATTGAGGGATTTAATATAAGGAAAAAGGAAGAGAGAAGTTTGAAAATTTTGAAGTGAGTAGGAGGGAAAAGGAGGAGAGGTATGTTTGCGTGCGGTTCACTTAAGAGGCCCGCACATGAAAATCGATTTTCGCGTGTAGACCCTTAAGATTTTTGCGTGCGGGCCTCTTAATGGTCCGCACGCGAAAATGGGACGCCGATTTTTCCATGCGGACGCGAAAACGGTCCGTGGTTGCTCTCGCGTCTCCGGGAAGCTCTCGTTGAGTGTCGGGAAAGGAGCAAGGCGGAGACACATCTTCAAGCTGTGGAGGCAATTTTGGGAGTAGCTCCCAACCGCCGCTCCCATGCGAGCTTGCCGATGTCGGCCACCGCACCACCCAACGACCTCGGTAACCGGGGCAGAGGCCGGCTGGAGCGGCGCAAGGGTCGCAGACGCACGTCATTGGTCTGACGTGGATGGAGCCGGAATACTGCCACAGTGACCTCCCTGAGCTCCAGTGTCCTTCATCCGACATTTTTTTGCTCGTCTTGTCGCCGGGAGGGATTGAAATTAGAGGAGAGGAAAAGAAGAGTTGCTAACAGAAGGAGCCTACAAGCTGACTCGGTCAACGTAGTCAAAGATGCCACGTCGGATGAAAGTGCCTCCCAAATCGCCAAGGGAGGTTATTTTCCCTGGTTTTCAAAGCTGAAGGAGGTGTTATACCCGCTCTTTCGGTAGAAGGGACGTGATTCAACCATCCAAGGGCAAGGGTTGAGGGAGGCAAAATAGACTTATTCCATTATCTTTTGATCCTGGCGAAATTGGCTCAGTGGAACTAAATTTTCGGATTATATTCAGGGATGGACCAGGTTTCGGCCCATTGGAAGCCCTATTCCTGGAGATATTCACAGATCCACACATGCAAGGCTGTTAGTGGAGTCGTGAACTGGCCTAACTTCTTTTTGGTTTGGACAAAGAAGATTTGATTACACACGTTCGTCCCTCTCCAGAACTTGTTCACTTTGCTACCATTTTTAACCTTGTCTTTTTTTGGTAAAGTTACCAAAAACGAGGCTACATTTAGTTTGTTGCCAAATTTTAGTAAGTATATATGAAATCTTGCAAAAATTTTGCAACCTTGCCAAAATTTTGACAACCTTACCAAAATTTAGCAATATCAAAACTTGGTAAGGTTGAAAATGGTAGTAAAGTGAACAAGCCCCTAGTTTCCTAATGTACTAATAGTATGTGTCAATTTTGAACGACTATAAAATATTACTACTATACTTTATAGCCTTAAACATTTTACCATTTGGTTTTACTTTCCTTTGGAATAAATTACTTTGAAGTGCGGCGTGCTCAAATGTACGTATAAGGGAAAAGTATCGATTGACAGTTAGGCATATTTCATAGTGAACAAATCAGACAATTAATTATGTAAAAGATTTAAGTTCCCTGTGCCAAATCTGCCTATCTATTTATCTACCTACCTACATATACTGTATTGAGTACTTTCGGGAAGCTTTCATTTTAATTAAGGAAGATATGGTGAATGATTAGATAAATATATAATATATCATGACCGCAGATTATAATTGTGAATTTATGTTATATAAAACATTTAAAATACTGTTTTTACTTTATATAAAATTTATTAAATTCAAAATTGGGAAATGGTAATATGAAATTTTACCCATCTTTAACTCAATTTAGTATTTTATTTATCCAATTATAATATTAGAAATTAATAATTAGAAAGTTGTAACTGATATGTGGATATATTCTTGGTTTAATTTAAACTGCAATTATAAAAAACAACCAAATTGAATTATTATATCAGCTCGTGCAACGCATTTCCTTGATGGCTAATTTATTTGAGGTGCCTTTATTTGATTAGTCATTAGTACGTTGTTGAACCTTGAAGAAGAGAAACAATAGACTGCTTTTTCAACACATTGTAGCCCAAATAGGTTCTTTTTTGAAGATCTGGGTGAAACAACGACGCATAATATATTTAGCTACGATGAAAATTAGATGAACTATATAAGACCAAAACATAATGAATATATTCAGAGATAGATAAAAATATTTATTCATTTCATTGAAGATAAAAAGTCTGAGATAATAATTAACTAAAAGTAAGTTCTACAGTAGATGTGACTACTGCATACCTCTAATTTTATCCATATCATTCACTAATAAATTAAGAGGCCTATACAATATATCACCTCTAATGCATAAATACCAAATACCTCTAACTAATACTCTCACATGCATACTACTTATAGTTTGTGTGCATTTTGCTCTTGCATGATGGGTGTTTCATCATCTCTCTTCTTACTTCTCTCCTTTAATTACCTTATCACTTGATGCTATGTGACACTTTTATATAATCAACAGTATAATAGTACTTGCTCTAAACAATTTGCGCTTGTGGCTCCTTAATGATCTTTTTTCTAGTAATTTGATTGAGGCATGCACCCTTGTTTTCTGCATGTGAGCCACATAGTCATGCAAAATTCTAAAATGATTATATATTTCTTCCGTTTCAAACTACTTATTATTATTTTAAGAAAATATATATGCTTAACTTTGGCAATCAAATTTTAGAAATCCATATAGTCTAATAACATGTGAACATATACATTGTGAAAATATTTCTCATGATGAATCTAAATATCTAAATCTTATGATATTAAATTATAAATTTATAGAGAATGATGATCAAAGTTAGAAAATTAAGTTTGAGTGTTTAACTTGGGACAAAACTGTAGAAAAGATAGGTGGTTGTGCTGCTATCTCCCCGAACAAGTTAAACATTAGGATGGAAAAAGAAACAAAATAAAGAGAAGAATACTCTCTGGAGTTTGTGATTTCAACAAAAAAGCTGAAGCAAAATTAGCCTGAAATAATTAATATAACTTCAATCGATCACTGTGGTTATTATACAACTTAATTGGAGATTTACACTAATGAACTCGCTATTTCGTGATACTATGCTATATCTATACATCGATCGAGCTAGCTAATTAACGGCCGGGGCGCCGGGCATCTCCTAGACAGAGTCACCATTATTAGCATTCATGAACCTAATCAATTAAGTGATCCAATCAAGTGTGTATCTAACAACAAAAATTTCAACATCTACATGCACAATGTGCATGCCTCACCTAAATACACCAATTAAGTTAAGAAGCAAAACGAGATCTAATAATAATGACATCAGAGAGGTGAGACTGATTGATCAGTTATCACGTCGATCGTGAGAAGAAAAAATGCCGTCCATGATGCTGCTGCTGCCGCTGCCGCCGGAGTTGAACATGACGTCGGCGAGGTCCGCCACCGGGTAATGGTCCGCGTCCCTAGCTGCTGCACCGCCGCCGCCGGCCGCCGTGGCGCCCATTGTCGTCACCTGCGGCGCGGTGGCGGTAGTGCTAGTGCTTCCCTCGCCTACGGCGCCGGCGAGGCTGGCCGGCGTCATCGGCCATCCGATGCCGAGGTGGATGGACGTGGACAGCGGCGGCTGCGCCTGCTGGTGCTGGGGCGGCTGCTGATCGGCGGCGGGCGCCATGACGAAGTCCTGGCCGAGCACGGCGGCGGCGGTCGGAGAGTTTGTCACCGAAGTGGCGGCGGCGGCGGGGAGTGTGAGCAGCGGCGTGGTGGAGGTGAGGCAGGTGTGGTTGCCGCAGTAGGTGACCTCGTAGGTGAAGGGGTCGTCGTCCAGCCGCTGCACCTTCTTCTTCGCCTCGCACCCGTAGTAGTTCTTGTGAGTGCACCGGTAGTAGCTCCTGTAATTTTCGGATATTGTCGTATATTAATTAGTGGAACTATCTTATATATATTTATCGATAAAATTTAACAGATATAACTGTAATACAGTCGTTAAATATAAACATAATACAATCATAAATCATAATGTAATTACACTAATTATACATATATAATTAAGTGTGTAATACAACTTATACGTAATTTAATTTCAAAAATTCCGCGGTAACAATCGTTAATTAGTTCACCACAGTTTCAGATTTTGATTAAAGTATCTTAATATTCTTAAAAATTTATGCCATGCATTAATTATCCACGAAGGTCTTCCATTTAATTATTACAGGAAAATGAACACATAAATATACATTGGTTGTATATATATTTATCCAGAAGCAGTAGACTGTTTAGCTAAAGGTGATCGATTGTACGTTTCCAGGAAACAACGTCGGAACTTGTCTATTTTATTACCTAAACTTTTCGTGACATTTGAAAATTAACCATTAGCGTAAAGACTTGAATGTTTTTTCACTGGCCAAGACTAGAAATTCTTTTTTACCGTCAACGATAAAAAGATGTAACTTTTCAACATTCGCCTGCGTTTAGAGTGGTTTCTATGATGTTTCACTGACACTGACACATTGCAAAGTGCATTATGTTTAAACTAGTTTTGAATTGTAGCAAGACTAAAGGAAAAGTAGTGTGTTTTTTTAAAAAAACTCTTGGCCCATTAAACTTGAGAAGTGACTTAATTAGGATCATTTGGCAACTCAGTTTTTCAATTATTTCGAAACCTAGCCTCGGAAAAAAATTGTTTCAAACCATTTAATAATTCGACCAAAAGTTGAAATCATTCTATAGTTATTATTTCAATATTTCAAAATTGAAAAAAAAAGTCTTCAGGAATTTTCTTGAATAAAACGCCAAACTCTCCAAGGCATGTAATAATGATTGATTTTCCATTGCATCGCTCGGTCTCTTCAATTTCTCTCTGTAAGTAAACGTACAGATAAACATAGCAATTTCAAGACAAGTAAAGTAAACCGACCAAATAATTTTAAATTTTCAAATATAAGTTCTTCTAGGCAACTTTTGTTGAACTTTAATATTAATTACTCGACGACAAGCTAGCTAATCTAGCAACTGGTTTCTTGCTCATCACAAATTAATACACAAGCTAGGTTATCTCCACGAAGATTTTTCTATCTCCATTAATCGTTTCATTTACAACTGATTATATGCCATAATACTTTTAGTGATAAAAAAATAATCCATTGAAAAAACTTTATTTATATGTTCTTAGTGAATTAAATCCTATACTTAAAAGTAAACTATGATAAAAAAATAAAATCAATTCTACAATTTAACTTTTAAAGTTTAAAATTTAGCTATACGGCTAATAAGCTAAAAGAGTAAACTATGGAGCTATCTATTTTTCCTACAAAAAATAACAATATAGTTAACCATATGCATATATATGTTGCATTCTTGGTTCACTTGAATTGGACCCACACCATGCTGAAAGCCAACTAATTCAAAAAAAGAAAGAAAACTCACGTGGAAAAGAAAGAAAACTGATACTAGGTTATTCTGCGCGCATGCTCGATCTTTTCCTAGATACCATAAGTGAATTTGACATTGCAATTAGCGATATATTATATACTAGAAAAAAATACCCGTGCATAGCAACGGGTGAAAGCTATTTTAATCTTATTATTATTGTACGGTTTACCTATGGTGAATTGTGCGAATTCGCTTGTATATTATTTTTATAAAATCATGAGCTGTAAATTGGAGTCCGATTGTCACAAATTAGTGTGCGAGTTTTTTTAAAAGAGATTTCTTATACGACTCCTTCTGTATTTTTAAAATTGAACGAACTTAAAAATCGACTTAAACATAGATTTGTATTTCCAAAAACAAATAAACTTAAAAAAACTGACTCAAACAATATGGATGACGTGCACATGTATAATAGTATTGATATAGATATAGATATAGATATAAATGTGCACATGTATATATGTTGCTGGACTTTCATACCCCCGGTGCTAATTGAGTTAGTATATACGTACACACTTGCGTATTAGCCATCGATCGGGCTACGTGTACTGTACTATAGTATATGTTTCTTTTTCCCAAAAACAGAAAGATATGAATATATGATGCTTTGTGTATGCAATAATACTACTGGTGTAGTGGAGGAAGCGGAAAAAAAGGTGAAGAAAAATCGATATGAAGATGCGAATGTTAGCCAACCATACACACTGCCAGACCTAAATATGTCCAGCCAAATCATATTTAATTAATCAGCTATAGTTTTACTTTCCAAAAAAAAGCTATAGTAGTTTTACTCAACAAAGCCCCCATTACGATACACGTTATTAAAATACAATTTGAAAATATCAAAACAAAATAAGTATAAGCAAAATTAAAGAGTTCCAAAATTAAATTAAATTAAACATTAGTAATTCTGTGGTACCTGGGATATCTGGAGCCGAGGATGTCCTTCTGGCCGTACTTGCGCCACGTGTACCCGTCATCCGGCGGCTGCTCCGTGTTCCCCGTCCGCTGTGCCGCCACCATCACCGTCACCTTCTCCCCGCTCTCCCTCCTGATACACATACATCATCTAGTTAATTATTTACTCGCTTCGACCTGATAAAAACTATAATTTAAAATTAGATTTGATACAATCTAGTGTAATGAATTTTGATTTTTATTGGGATATATAGAGTGAGTATCTATGACGAAAATTCACTAATCAGGTTAATTTAACCGATCGATCAGCCTATTCAGTAATCAACTAATTAACAGCTGATGCGCCGCAGAGAACACAGTACCTCGTAGAGTACTCGTAGTTGTGTGTAAACCCTCGTGTAACTTGTGTGCAAAGCGGAAGCGCCATGACTTGGCAAGCAATTCGGACTGCATATATGCCGCTTAGCCGTCGCCATCACCGCGAACAAGAAAATCAATACTCCCTCCATTTCGAAATGTTTGATACCGTTAACTTTTTAACACATGTTTGACCGTTCGTCTTGTTCAAAAACTTTTGTGAAATATGTAATATTATATGCCTACATAAAAATATATTTAACAATGAATCAAATGATAGGAAAAGAATTAATAATTATTTAAATTTTTTAAATAAGACGAACGGTAAAACATGTACTAAAAAGTCAACGGCGTCAAACATTTCGAAACGGAGGGAGTATTAATTACGGGGTATTAGTACTAGTTAAGCTAAAGTCTATAGTTAATTAATGGCTTGGTGTACTGCAGGTAGGAGAGGAGAGAAGGAGAGATGGATATATGGCTAGTGCGACGAAAATTCGGTGGCGTTTCTTTCTGACCCAGCTGCGCGCGCGCGCGCCATGCACGGCGCGACGTGGTAAAGGTCAACGTGTCTGAACAGCTTGACCGCCAAAAGACTTCACCAACTACAGTAGCGCAGGCGCGCCGCGCGGGCCATGGCCATGGCGTGCTTCGACCTGATCGAATCGATTAACCCTAGCGTACGCCACGACGACGACCGGGTGACGCACGCACGCACCAACGGAGAGGGAAGAGTGACGTAGTGATGTACCTCCTCCTGCTGCCGGCGCCGCCCTGGCGCGGCTGGACCGGCGACGGCGGCGAGCGCGACGACGACGACACCCGCCTCACCGGGCCACCCGACGTGCCGGCGCCCGCGCCGCCGTACGCGTCGGACGGCGCGCGGAACGCCGCCGTTGTTGCGCCGCCGCCGCCGCCGAGGAACGGGTTGGCGGCGGCGGCGGCTTCGTCCGGCGCCGTGCCGCCGACGTACATGCGGAGGAGGTCCAACTGCTGGCGATGCTGGTGATGGAGGTATCCCTCGCCGCCGAACGACGTCGACGCCGCGCCCACGCCGCCGCCGCCGTGGCGCGCCCCCTGCAGCACGCGCGCCGCGGCGGCGTACGCGCCGGCAATGGCGTGGCAGCGCGCGGCCAGGTAGTCCGGGTCGTTCTGGGTCGCCGCGAGCTCCGACATCAGCTCGCCGGCGAGCCGGAACCCCTCGCTGATCTGCGCCAGCACCTCGTCCATCTCCCAACCCTCTCGGCCGCCGCCGCCGCCGCCGACAACCCTGCTCCGATCACGGCGATCGAAACCACCACCAGCAGCAGCAGCGAGCAACACCGACAACGGGGTCACCTGGTGCGGTGCAAAGACGTGCATGAACAATGGTTGCAAGGTGCTCGACGACGATCTCGTATTTAATCTTCTTATGCCCGAGGTTAATAAGGTAGCTAGCTAGGTTATAAGCAAATTAAGGTTACTATATGCATGTGTAGAGGGTGAGGCAGTGTGGTGTATATAGGAAGCAGCCGGGCACGTACATGCGGTAAGAAAGGGAGAAACTGAATTAGAACGGGTCATGCATTTGGTCGTTGGGGTTTTATTGACTAATTTGCTAACTAAATAATAATCAATTAAAAACGAAGAGAGATACGGTATATAGTTAATTGAATATCTTTGGTGTGCATTTTGCCTCTCTTGCTTGGTGCTGATCGAGTCACTTTCTGACTACTCTTTGGTTGGGTCTTGGGGAAGACCATGAAAGTTGAAAAGGGCATTCAACATGGAAGGATCCAATCTTAATTCTGGCCACTGGGGTTTGATCCTCCGTTCTTTGGCCGAAGACTCGGTGCAGCTTTAATTTTCCACCAGAAGAGTCTCCGGCCAACTCTAATTAAATGAAAATGGTGACGTCACGGTATGTGACACCTCATCGCACAACTGATAGGCACCTGCTTGGAGCCACAAATGAATTAACTGAAGCTCGGCCAGTTAATTTTGGGGTAAATATACTAAGCTGGCAATTGATCTTAGGCAACTTATCACATAATTAACACATATTATATATATATATATATATATATATATATATATATAGTAAATTTGTTTGGTACTCCATGGTGCCCGGGCACCATGATTGAAATTTACTATATACCCAATTCAAATGAGTATGAAACTTTTTCAAATATTTAGGTATTAACGTTAACTACTTTACTAACTAGTTCAAAGCAAGTTTGAACTGAATTCAAACTTACTTTTGTTAGATTTTGATTCTAGGTATATAGCATCCAAACATATAATTAGTTAGGTATGTAATAATGGATTGTGAAATAAAGTTAAATTTGAGTTGTTTTGTTGCTAGGTATAGGTATGAAATGAATACTTATAAGTAGGTATATACTCACAATTTGAAAATTTTGAAACATTTGGGCGAATTTGTGTATTTCATACCATGGTGCCCGGGCACCATGGTGCCCCATATGAGTGTCCTATATATATATATATATATATATATATATATATATATATATATATATATATATATATATATATATATATATATAAAACATGTTTTTTCCGATACTTTGGTACGTCATTTGTGTGTGATTCGGTTTCTAAGTTCGTACGTTTTTAGAAAAATATTTCCGTATTTGAGTCGATTTTTAAGTTCGTTCTCTTTTGAAAATATGGAAGGAATCGTATAAGAAATTTCCCACGTGCTAACTTAAGACGATGAGACTCCTAACTGTAGCTCATGATTTTCTAAATATATATATATATCCAAACTAAACCATATAACAATAATAAATTTAAAACAACCTTCACCCGTTGCAACGTACGGACATTTTCTCTAGTTATTATAAAAATTGAAGATGTTTTTGTCAAAATTTTGGTACGTCATCCGTGTTGGAATCGGTTTTCTAATATTTATCTTTATCTCTAATCTATCTATATACCTAATAAAAATAAGCAAGAATTCCGTGTATTTGATTTTGTACGTCATCTGTATGTGTCCGAACCCAGCGAAGTTGGGAAGAATCATATGTAACTTTTTCTTTAGATATCCATGGATATATTATTTGCCTGATTCCGAGTCCGTATGAGAAAGTTATGCCCATTTTAATGCCCCTTTTAATAAATGACACCCAAATGACTCGTATTTTTGGTAGAGCTTTGGAAAATTCTACAAGTCACATATTTTGTCCGTTTAAGTTTATTTTTTCTATGGTTGGTCCCTGTGTTCTCGTAAGTGTGAAAAAATATCAAAAAAATAAAATAAAAAAATTGCAACTCTATACAGAGAAACAAGAATGGAGGCGAGGGATGGAGGGGAGGTGCCAGCCATGCTGGCGCCCTCCTCCCTGGGGCGGCGCCAGCCATGCTGGCACCCTCCTCCTGCCACATCGGTTCGCGTATGCCACGGTGGCAGGAAGACGGCGCCAGCCACCCTAGCGTCCCAAAAAGGACCATTTCTAGGATATGTTTTTCTAGGGGTCTATTTGCGAAATAAGTTTTTAGAAAGGACCAAAATGTGAAAAATCCAGGGCAATAAGACCCCATCCAATTCAAAGCTAGATCTTGCCCCGGGAGAGGCGAGGAGGGGAAAAGGGAACATTTTTAGTTCAATGGCTAAGACGAGAAGAAAAAAATAAAATAGTATTAAAGAGGTCCACCCAATCTAAAACTACACTTTATCATAGACAAGTTTTTAGACTAAAAGTACTCTTGGGATGGAGGGAGTAAAATATTAAGCATATTATTAGTTTTAAATATACTTTATCCATTAATCTATTTCTTTCAATTAATATCGTATGAAAATATTTTTAAATACATATCTAATGATAATACGTGCAAGACATGAAACACACATTTTTTTTTACCTCAATTACTAGTCAGAATTTTTAAACATTAACTTTGCGGAGAACTAATTGAGGTAAAAAAAATTATCTTCTCCTTTGGGGAAGAAAAACCTCTTCTTGGAACTACTATGTTTAGATAAGGGGTAAAACTTTTTACCGTGTCACATTGGATATACGGACATACATATATATTTGAAGTATTAAATATAGTCTAATGACCAAACAAAATACAAAATCCGCTTGTAAACTACAAAACGAATTTATTAAGCCTGATTAATCCGTCATTAGCAAATGTTTACTGTAGCATCACATTGTTAAATCATGGAGCAATTAGGTTTAAAAGATTCGTCTCGCAATTTACACGTAATCTGTGTAATTAGTTTTTATTTTTATCTATATTTAATATTTCATACATGTGTCCAAACATTCGACGTGACATGGTAAAAAAACTTGACTGGGGATCTAAACAGGGCTATAATACATGTATAATTGTGTGTGTACTCCCTCCGTAACAAAATGAATCTAGAACTGGATGTGACGTATTCTAGTACAACGATTGTACTAATCTAGACAGATGTATGTCCAGATTCGTTATAATATAATGTGTCACATTCAGTATTAGGTTGTTTTTTTTAAATATACTTTATCCACAAAGTAGCTTCCCCGTAATTTTACTGTTCCATGGTTTAGGGTTTAGGGTTTAGGGTTTAGTTCAGTAATACAGTAAAATTACGGGGAAGCTACTTTGTGGCCGCACAGCCACAGTGTGGCCATGTGGCATCATCTACTCATTTCGCGTCAGCCAATATATGTTAAATTGTATAATTATATGGTTTGCTCTGTACGTCTTGTTTAGTCAGATAGTTCTATAATATTTTTTCTTCAACTCAGCTGAAAAATAAAATGCTGGTGTCCATTCAAGAAAGAGAAAATTAGGAAACAGTGTTTATATGAAATGAATTCTAATCCATCGGGGGAATGCCATCTCGTGTTCATTATTCTTCTAAATTCGATATAAACAGTTGTAAAAATTTCTTAAAAAATTAATAATGTACTAGAGTACAATGATATCTATTAGTACACCAAAAATCGAATTTAAATTCGACCTACACATCAAGTAAAAACATCCAAATTTAGATGTGAATAGTGCTACTATTCATCTGAATTTGTCTTTTATATCTCTTGACGTGTGAGTTAAATTTGGAACTAAGATTTCATGTAGTTGTATATATATGTTATATGAGATTTCATGAAGTTGTATATATATGTTGTATAAGTGTTGTCAATAGTTTTTAGATTCATAATAGTTTAGATAGTTTATGAGCAAACGAGAGGACATCCTCTCGAGGATCAAAATAATTTCCCAGTGTTTATATATGTACATACATATGCTGAAACTTAATCAGGTTGTAGATATATGTGCCATGTATGCAGCATATGCGCATGTATGAAGTAGTAATAATTATTAACAGGGATCTTGACATGCATATGGACTTTTGGTGTTTGGCTTGCCGGTCAACACACTTCATATATATATATATATGCTGTATATAACTTTACGCGTATATCCAGTATGAACTCTACATAACGTGAAGAGAACTCTATTTGTATATATGCAAATAATATAATTAGTTGTCGTTTTAGTTTTACCATTCTAAGCCAAACATTTTCATCTTTAACCAATTTCTAAAAACTCATGGAGTTTAATAACATGTGAATTATATACTAAAAAATATTTCTCATGATAAATCTAAAAGTATAAATTTTATTAAGCTAACTATATAAATTTCTATAAATTAATAGTGAAATATATAGATGTTTGACTTTGGACAAAATTATAATGATAAATAATTTAAAATGGAGAAAGTAATATTGGTGTGCCGAAAATTAATTCTATGCTAAAAAATAATTTGATTATATTCGTGCCTGTGCCTGCCGTGAAGCGAGGGCCGGCATGCATGTAAAATACACATGCAAGACTTGAAAAAACCGATCAAAGGAAGCATCATGGTTGCCGCTGCACGAATTGAAGGTCCGGTCCGGCCACCTATCGATCTGGTCCTGCGCAACATGACAATTAATTAAATTGAACCAAATTTTCCTCCTAAAAGAACCTTCTTGGCCGATCTCGTATGGATATGATGCATAGTTGCATACACACCAAACAGTTTAATTTTGTGGCATTTCCTCAATTTGTTTATCTTCCTGAATAATTGAAATTAGCGTGAAACAATTAATACATACTCCTCCACTTAGAGTATAGGGATTTTTAGAGTTGGACACAGGTATTAAGAAAGTAGGTAGAATTAAATGGGAGAAGATTGTTGTTAGGTTTAGTCCCACATTGGTAATTGATGATGGAATAGCACGACTTAAAAGATGGGGGCAGTTCTCACCCATCATACTAGCCTTTTGAATTGTACAGGCCCAGGACCTAAAGTTGGGGCTCCGGTTAGACCAGTGATAGAGCAGACCCAATGTGACCTGGGTGGCCCACGATTGGTGGGACGGACTGCATACTAAGTGGTTGAGAAGTGGACGCTCCTAGCGCGCGTATGCCCCAGCAATTATGGCCACGCGTCGTCTTCCCTTTTTTTTTCACGTTTTTTTTTCATTTTCTCTCATTTTCTGATTTTTTTCCCGCCAATTAGCAAGTTTTAAATCATGATTTGAAAGTTTTAAAATCTCGGGTTGAAAGTTTTCAAATCTTAAGCTGAAAGTTTTCTAAATTT